TCATAAAATGATAGAATGATAGAATCATAGAATCATAGAATGGCCTCGGTTGAAAAGGACCACTATGATCAACTAGTTTCAACCCCCCTGTTATGTCCAGGGTCACCACCCACCAGACCACCAGGCTGCCCAGAGCCACATCCAGCCTGGCCTTGAATGCCTCCAGGGATGCAGCATCCACAACCTCCTTGGGCAACCTGTTCCAGTGCGTCACCACCCTCTGAGTGAAAAACTTCCTCCTCATATCTAACCTGAACCTTCCCTATCTTAGTTTAAAATCATTCCCCCCTGTCCTATCACTATCCACCCTTGTAAACAGCTGTTCCCCCTCCTGTTTATATGCTCCCTTTAAGTATTTGAAGGCCATGAAGAGGCCTCCCTGGAGCCTTCTCTTTCCCAAGCTAAACAAGCCCAGTTCCCTCAACCATTCCTCATAGAGAGGTGTTCCAGCCCTCTGATCTTCTTAGTGGCCCTCCTCTGGACCTACTCGAAGAGCTCCACATCCTTCCTGTACTGTACTCACAAGACCTGAGTAGAGGGGAACAATCACCTCTCACTCCTTGCTGGCTAACCCTTTTTTAATGCAGCCCAGAACACAGTTGACCTTCTGGGCTGCAAGCACTCACTGCTGGCTCATGTTCAGCTTCTCGTCCACCAGCACCCCCAAGTCCTTCTCCACAGGGCTGCTCTCAAGGAGACCTTCCCCCAGTTTGCGGAATCTGGATACTCTTCTATTTATTTGTTTTGTTTTAAGAAACTGTCCTTTTTATTTCAACAATCACATTTTTACTAAGAATGCTTATTTTCTATTTTTTAAAGAAAGTAGAAGTAGCAGTATCCTTAAAATATAAATTAGGCACTGACTGCTGGTTCGCAGTACTTAGATGAAAAGAGGATTTAAATCTTGCAGATCATCAACCACGTATTATTTGCAGTCCTAAGAAAAGAAAAGAAAAATAATTAATGACAAATCATATCAAACTAAATTTTACCACTAAGAGTGCTGTGGTTTAAGCCTGCAGGTGACTGAGCACCACACGGTTGTTTGCTCACTCTCATCCTTCTCCATGAGATAGGGAAGAGAATTGAAACAGGAAGAGTAAACATCAAAGTAGAACTTGTGAGTTGAGATAAAACTATTTACAAAGATAGAGAAAAGGAAAAGGAAAGGCTAATAATTATCACAGATATATATGATTGTATATAACAAGTAATGCATGAGCAATCATTCACCGCCTGACCAATGCCCAGCTAGTGCCCTAAGCAATAGAAGAGAGAGATGAATTCTCACTCCCTTCAAAACTCCTTCCACATGATGTCATCTGGAATAGAATATCCCTTTGTCCAGTTTAAGTCACTGTACACTGAGAATGTGTACAGCACTGCATAGCAGCAACTATAAACACTGGTGTGTTATCAACATTGTTTTTCTCCTAGAACCAAAACATAACATCATACCAGATACTCTGAGGAAAGCAATTCGTTATCAGCTAAAACTAAAACAAAGAAGAACATTGAAATTATTGATACTTTTATGGAAAACTAGAAAGAATAAAGATGTCAATCTCCATCAGTGTTAAAAGTAACTTTGAGTTGTGGAGTAAATTATCTTGGTCAGGGACTTTGAGACTGTAATGAGAAATTGAGTGACAGCTGTAACACAATAATCTTGTTCTCACTCTAAACCTGAAGCTCATTCAGAATTCCTCTTCATGCACCTTTGATACAGGGCTGTTTAATTTCTCCTGCTGATATGTTCAAAAACTTCACTTGACTCAAACATAAATATAGCCTCAGCGGGTCTGCAGAAAGATTAGGAACAAGCTGAAAGTTTAAATTGCCATCTTGTTGAGAAATTTAAACTCACAATTGCAATTTGCAAGTTGCAACCCTTCATCTAAGCCTTGTGGCAGGAACTAAATCTATCGATTTTCATGAAGAATCAATGACCTCAAAAATGTATTTTAGTTTCTAGAAGATACTGATAGGATACAGAAAATGATTAAAAATAAACTCAGTAGAATTAAAAATGACTAAAATTGCACTTCCATGTGCTATTCTGTGGCATCCAAGGAGATGCAAAATTTCTGTGTTAAAGTATAATAGTCATAATACTGGTACTAGAGTGAAAATTAGAATAGGTAGAATAATAGTCTATAACTATGTTAAACATTAAGTAATTAATATGGGGAAAATAAAGCCTGGACCACATCTTCAGTTCCTAACTCTGGTTGCTAAACTCAAGGAGTAGATTATTATTTTTTAAAATATCTGTGTTTTTTTATTTCAGTGGATAAAGGAAAAATAATTGATGTCATCTACCTGGACTTGTTCAAAGCATTTGATACTGTCTTGCATGACATCCTGGTCACCAAATTGGAGAAAAATGGATTTGATGGATGGACCACTCACTGGATAAGGAATTGGCTGGATGGTCGCACTTAGTTTCTGTCAACAGCTCAACGTCCATGTGGAGACCAGTGACAAGTGGCATTCCTCAGGGATTGATGAATGGAACCAATACTGCTTAACATCTTTTTAGGTGATATGAACAGAGGGATCAAGTGCACCCTTAGCAAGTTTGCAGATGACACCAAGCTGAGTGGTGCAACTGACGTGCTAGAGGAACCTGGATAGGCTTAAGAGGTGGGCCCATGCCAACATCATGATGTTCAATAAGGCCAAGTGCAAGGTCCTGCATCTGGGCCAGGGTAATCTCAAGCACAAATACAGTTTGGGCAGAGTGGCATGAGAGCAGCCCTGGGGAGAAGGATTTGGGAATGTCAGTTGATTTAAGACTCAACACGAGCTGGCAATGTGCACTTGCAGCCCAGAAGGTCAATCATATCCTTGGTTCCATCATGAGAATTATGACCAGCAGGTTGAGGGAGATATTCTGCCCCTCTACTCTGCTCTTGTGAGACCTCACCTGGGGTACTGCATCCTGTTCTGAGGCCCACAAAACGAGAAGGACATCAAGCTGCTGGAGCAGATCCAGAGGAGGGCCACGAAGATGATCAGAGGGCTGGAGCCTGTCCTCTATGAGGACAGGCTGAGATATTTGAGGCTCTTCAGCCTGGAGAAGGGAAGGCTCCAGGGGGACTTCACAGCGGCCTTTCAGTACCTGAAGGGGGCCTACAGGAAAGCCAAAGAGGGACTTTTTATAAGGACATATAGTGACAGTATGAGGGGAAGTGGCTTTAAACTGGAAGAGGGTAGATTTAAACTAGATATTGAGAAGAAATTATTTACTGTGAGGGTGATGAAACAATGGAATAGGTTGCCCAATGAAAGGGTGTCTGTGCCCCCTCCTGGAGATGATCAAGACCAGGCTGGATGGGGCTTTGAGCAACCTGGTCTAGTGGAGGTGTCCCTGCCTTATAGCAGGGGGGGCCAGAACTGGATGATCTTAAGTGTCTCTTTCCACTCAAATCATTCTATGATTCTACAATTTCCCTGTGATTCGTATATAATACCAAAAGTACTTAGGAGCCATCTCTTCCACAAAACTGACCTGGCGCAGTTAGACCGGACTAAGGTACATAGACCCTGTTTGGATTTCCAGTAGCCCTTAAGTACTGATGAATATTTATGCAATGAGCACTCAATAATCATCTAATTATTATGTGTTTCTCTTGAAAGATAGGTATCTTCTAAAGCACATAATGTTAATTACATGCACGGATGTTTGCAGGGCCATGGTTAGAACAAACCACATACAGTCTATTGAAAAGCAGAAATCAGTTTTACAGAAAATACTTAGACTATGATTTCTGTTGGTTTTGAGTAAATCCAGTTGCTGTTGTTGAAATTCTGATGGTGTAAGAAATTTGCAAGGAAGTCTGCAGCTATGACACAATGCGCTGCTGTGAAAGTTCCTGCTTTAAAATCAACTCAAGGTGAAAAGATGCCAGCTGAGAGCTAGCTGGTTTCTCTCATGTTATCATGGGAAAAAAAAAAAAAAAGAAAAAAGAAAAAAGAAAGCAAATTTCATATTAACATTCTGTATGACAGAAAATGTGAATGAAAGAACAGAAAATCAGTGTAGTACGTTTCTCCGACTATACTGCTATACCGTAAGATCATTTACCCATGTACTGAAGCTAGTTTCTCTGTGTAATGTAAGACAAAACAAGAAGGTTCCAGCACCAGTAGCTCTAGTTCAGATTCTACATCTGGAACTGCTCAGTAATGTATATGTAAAAATAATCTTGATAGACAATACAATATAATCCCATTCAGGCAGCATTACACTTCTAATTGAAGTTGTAAGCTCAACTCAATAAATCTAACACTATCACTATAGATAGAATTTCTACTGTTACATTTGTTATGCCTCTTATTTAAGTTACAGATTTTAGTTAAGTACTGGAGGCATCAATCAAATAGAAGGATATGTGTAATGTAGGAAGTGCATCTTTCCATAGATTACTTCCTCCTCCTGGTTTGTGAATAGCTCATGTACCAATGTAACAGAGAAATACAAACAGCTGTAGCAATTAGACGCGACAGGATATTTTCCACATATTGTTTTGTCTAATGAACTGTCAGAGGGTATAGTTTCCCTGAAATTTAATTGCTGCACCACCCACAGTTAGGACAAGTTCACCTAGCTCATTTGTCTCGGATCTAACACATCTTCTCAAATCCATTCTTTTTGAAAGTAGTGGGTGCCAGTTTCAACTTTTACTAAATAGTGTAATATAACTAAAATACATCATTATTGTGGGCAGTAACTTTCCCAGTGGCAATTCTTTTTCAGTCAGAAAAATTACTCATTTTCATTCCTAATGCAACTAATTCTCTGCCTTCTTCTTTTCCTATTAAAAGTAAGTCCAAGATTTATTTGACAAACATTAACTGCTTCCCTTAGAATATTTTAACCAAACAGGACTAAAAAATGAAAAGTTAGTTGATACTACTGTTCCAGATCCAAATTTCCAAGGACAGTCTCCTTAATCATTTTGTTCTATTTTATAAAGTTTACTTTTAACTATTAAGTGTAGGTATTTAATTGTGACTATGGTGAAACACGCATTAGGGTTGAAATCTGGAAATGCAGAACATGCAACTTTTTAGGTAAAATTTTATTCCATTAGTCATGCAAAACTATTCTCATTAATTTTCTCAGCAATATTTACCTTATTATGTTAGTTTTTCCACATTTACTGTTTTGTTACCAAGATTCTAGTGTGAAGGAAAATCACAGAATTTTATGTTCTTTTAGTCTTTTCTATGTCTTACATGATATGAAGGGTGCCTTCCAAAAGCATCTCCTTTCCTTCCAATGAAAATGTTAAATAACGCTACATGTAAATATTGTTTAGGTGAGTTGGGTCTTGGATATAACTGGCATAAACATGTATCGTGAAGAGGAGGGTGCTAAACAAAGCCATGGTACAGAGCATAGGCATTCCTGGGCTTTATTGCTTTAATTCTTCCACACAAGATCTTGATCTCCACCACCTCATGATTGCTGCATCCCAAGCTGCCCCCAGCCTTCACATGCCCTTACCAGCCCTTCCTCGTTAGTAAAAACAAGGTCAAGTAGCACACCCATCTGCATCAGCTTCTCTACCACCTGCGTCAGAATGTTATCATGAACATATTGCAGGAACCACCTGAACTTTGTGTGCCTGTCTGCATTACTTTGCCAACAAATATCAGGGTGGTTGAAATCCCCTATAAGAACAAGTGCTGGGAATTGCAAGGCTACTTTGAGATGTCTATAAAAGGTCTCATTCCACTTCCTCCATAGGGAAGCAGAGGGTGTAGGTATTTCAAGAGGGATGCAGGAAGATTTTAAACCAGGCTCATGGCAACATTATCTTCTCTGAGGAGTCCTCACAAGATCCTACTGTACAACTGGGAAGTTTTTCTCAGTTTACTAAAAAGACAGCATTTCCAGGCCCGTCTTTGTCACAAGGAACTCCATCCCCTCCCTCCATCAAATCTAGTTGAACATTCTGGTAAGCAATCCAGCCAGCTTCTTCCCCAGAACATTTTGGCCCCAACTGCTCAGTTGTGTTCCGTCTCATGCCCACACACCTGATCTTTCAAAGGAGTACCCAAGTTGATGGTATACAAAACCTCGATCCTGACACCCTTCCAGTAATCAGTCAGTAATTAACCTCCTCAATTCTCCTCCTTCCTTGTGGGACACAGCCGCCACTCAGGAGGGCAGAAGAGAACACTCCTGGCACTTCCAATCCCTTTAGCATCTTTCCAAGTAATGCTAAGTTCCTTTCTGATGTTCTGCCATTTCCTTGTGGCAGCCTCCCATGACCCTACTTGAATGACAACAAGCGTATGGTGGTCTTCTTGTTTGATCAGATACAGTGGAGTCTCCTTAACATCTCTGACATGTGCCCCTGGAAGATAGCAAAGCTCTCTGGAGAGGTTGTATGGGCAGCAGATGGGGGTCTCAGTGCCTCCCAGCATGGAGTCCCCAGTTACTAAGACAATGCTTGGGCAACAGCACCCGGCAGCTGCTCCCTGGCAGGGGCTCTCCCTCACCCGCTGAGGTGATTCCCTGCTTCAGCATGGAACATGTTCACCCCAGAGCCAAGTGCATCACAAAAACAGGCTGTGTTCTGGGGCCTTTAAGGTTCCCCTGCATGCTGTCTGGTCCCCAGCCCAGAGCACGTCATTCTCTGTGAGATGACACTCTGCAGTGTGATGTCACAGTGGCTACCTCATACACCCTTGTGGCAGCGGTGGGAGCGGTGGCTCAGTCCGCTTGTGGGACCTGCAGGAAGAGGAACCAGAGAGAGCGTTGTGTCTGTCTGGAGATATCCTGCTGTGATGGAGCGGCTAAGAGCCCTTCGAGGTGAGCTCCCTCCACCTCTCTGGACACCATGATGCTGCATGAGCACATGATTGCCTCCAGTGTCTGTTTAGGACATGCCAGCAGCACTGTCCTTGCTCTGCTGAGTGCAGCTGCCCACCATGGTTTCCCCAGTACCCCAGCTAGGGGAAGACTCTCTCTCCTCTCCCTTCCAACCGCACACGTGCCAGTGCAGCCCACCCTGCACTGTGGAGCTGGAGGAGCGTTCCTCCCAGAGCTGGCTGGATGTTCGGCCCTCGCTCCAAGCAACACCGGTAGCAGCTGCTCTGCTCTTTCCTTTCAGGTCTCTTCGCCTGTGTGGGCTGCATGCCCAGATGTACACGTCGCAGGGAGAGAATCAGGGTGGAAAGCCCTGTCCCTGTCTGTGCTGTGACTTTGCTGCTGCAGCACCTGCAAGACCAGGAGGTGAGCTCGGGACGTCCAACTGTCAATCCTTGCCCTGGCCCAGTGCCATGGTGCCGGGGGTGCCAGGCCTGGCAGCACAGCTGCATAGTGATGGCAGTGGGCAAAGCAAGCGTGACTGATCCTTGTCCCCAGGGTGACCGAGCGCAGGCATACTGTGAGCTGGAGCACGTCCTGTGGGAAGGTGACAGCCGCCCGCCGTGCGGAGTGGTGAACCGGCTTCTGGCAGAAGTGTCCCAGGACCTGACAGCAGCCCAGGTGAGGGGTCACTCCCAAAGGCAGAGGGAGCCACCTGCCTGTGCTGATGTTCTGCTGGCGGATGGCGGTGGCTTAGCCCTTCCAAGGGAAGGCCTCAGGCAGTCTCCTGTGCTGCGTGTCACCAGTGACTCTTTTTCAGGGCATGACAGACAACGTGAAGACAGCTGCCAGCAATGTCCTGGTGGCTCTGGCTCGGACACACTTCACCTTGGTGATGGCTGAGCTCCAGGGCCACCTGAAGGCCACGGGGGATGCATCCAAGGAGACTGTGCTCATCACCCTGAGCAAACTCTTCAGCACCTATGGTAGAGTGCCCTCAGCCTGACATCTGTAACAATGGGGAAAGGGGCCTCTCCCCTCTGCGCATGATCTGCATTGAGCTGGGGGATGCAGGGCTGCAGCCCCTCCTCCCTTGCTGTTGGGGTTCTGACTGTGGCCCTCTCCTTCCTCTCTGCAGCTCCACAGTGCATCTCCTTCACTTGGCTGATGCTGGCCGGCCTGCGCAGTGTGGTGGGCCAGGTGAGGAGCGGCCGGACCCTGCGCATCGCTTGTGCTGGTGAGTGCTGGCCTGCAGAGCAGGGGGGACCGGGACAGCTCTTGCACCTCGCCCTGCTGCAGACTCTCACAGGCTCCCTTTTCTTTCTCTCTCTCTCTCTCTCTTTTTTTTTTTTTTAATTAATCATTCATTCATTTTGGTTTGGTTTGGTTTTTCAGTTGTGAAACAATGGTCAGATGCAGTTAGAATTCACTTCTCCTCTGGAAGGCAATGCCCCTGGCCTGCCATGGAGAAAGAACAAATATATGAGAATCTTCACCAGCTTTTCTTCTCTGTGGTGAGGAACTGGCAGGACTGCCAGGAGGAAAAGGTGAGCACTGATGCATTCCCAGCCAAGGATGGTAGTGGGGGCACCCATGTCGGCAGCTCTGTCTGTGCCCAGCAGGCTGAGAGCAGAGGGGTGACAAGAGGGAGTGGGCTGGTTCTGCAAAGGACCCCAAACTGGCTCTGTGCTTGGGGCTGGATCTCCTGGCCAGGAAGCAGCTGCACATCACAGTATTGTGGCAGGGAGAGCTGGGGATGAGGACTTGGGAAAAACCTGCCTGCCCTCCAGAGCGAGCCTATCTCCTGCTGGGCACGGGAGTATGGGAAAAGGAAAGGGAAAGAGAAAGCCCTCACTGTAGGAAGGGCAGACCTTCAGTCTTTGATGTCAGGCCTCTGCCATTCCTCTCCAGGACAAAAAGGCTGTCCTCAGGGCTCTGGCTGCCATGATGGCTGCCCTCCTGCAAGAGGAGCTGCACCAAGAGCAGGTCTGGGAGCAGCTCCTCTGGCTCGTGCACCCATGTCAGGAGGTCCAAGACACCTGCAGGATGGCCAAGGTAAGATGTTGTGCAGGACTCAGCATGGATGTGGGGCCCATGAAGTGCCAAGAGGGGTCAGGGGGATGCAGGGAGGAGGCAGAGAGCCCTTGAACAAAGAAGGAACAGACGTACAAGGGAAGTCTGTGGCTTCCAGAGCTGTCCAATGAAAGAAGGAATAAACCTGACAGGAGCCAGGAGGGAGCCAAGAGTCACTGGGGCCCATCTCCTGGGGATGGGAGGCTTTACCACCTCTACTGTAGGGCTCTGATTTCCTGAGGAGCTCTGTGCTAACCACTGGGGGGACCATGATCAGTTGCAGCTGATGGGGGAGAAGAGGGCTGCTGGGTGGGAAATGCCTGCAAACAGTGCCCAAACAGGCCTCGGCTGAGAGCAGAGAGACAATCTTGGTGCTACTGGGGGGGAGGGACGCAGGAACTTCTCCCAGCAGACAAACCATTGGGAAACAGTTTCTCTGCTCCTAAGTGGTTAGATGTGGCTTCAGCCCTTTCTTCCTCTCCTGGTCTCTTGCAGAGCCTCGCTATCTTCCTGGAGGCCTTAGAGGATGTTGAGTTTGTCATCCCCAAGGACGCATTTCTGGACATCACCAGTGCCGTGTTCTACCAGGTAAAGGGAGCCTATCCTTGTGCCCACAGCAGTTTCCCTCATGGCTAAGTCTCAGGAGGACTGCAAAGCTCTGAGCCCTGAAGGCGGCTCAGGCTTAGCGCCTGTATGCCCAAGGCTGCTCCAGAACCATGCATGTGCCTCCGGAGATGCTAGGGATGGGCTGGGTTTTGTCTGCCTGTCCTCTTCCCAAGAGTGCCAAGGGAGACGAGAGCAGGCAGCACAGTTCTTTTTCTGTCATCAGTGCTGATGATTTTGATTTTCTCAAATGGACCTTGTTCCCACAGCTCTATGATGACACCAAGCAGCACAGCGAGGCTGACAGCGCAGAGCTGACCCACTGCATCATGCTGCAGGGTAAGGAGAGGAGCTTTGGCGATGCTTGGCAGTGCCCTGGCTAAAGCCTCTCTCACAAACCTCAGGAATGGGCACGAGTTGCTTGCTAACACAGCGCGGGATTTCTTCCCCACAGCCCGAATCTGCCCAGAGGAAACAGTCCTGTTTCTGCTGTCGCAGCTGGGTGATGAGTGGGAGGCTGGATGCGTGGCAGCCCTGGGTCTGCTTGGTGCTCTGGCTCGCTCTGATGGTCAGTACCACAGGTTGGGACTTCCAGGAATCCTTTTTGCCATCTGGGTTGTGCCTCCACTCATGCTTCTGCACATCTCTTGCAGAGCCTGTGATGACAGAAAAGCTGCCCCAGGTTGTGGAGGCTGTGCAGCGTTTGTGCAGCGACCCCAGGCCCCAGGTGAGCTGGTTTAGGAAAGGAAAGCACTGTTGGGGCGGTGATGCTGCTGCCAACACGGGCAGGGCTGGGGTGACCAGAGAGGTGCTGGGGCATTGACCACACGGCTGTGATAACTCCTGTGGGGAGATCAGGCAGAGTGGAGCAGGCAGGTCCCTGTGCTGTGCATTGAAAGTGCACAGCCTGGTGCTAAGGCCTGGCCCTCACCTCAGGAGCCAAGGCTTCTCCTCTGCTCTTGTTGTCTCTGCTCATGCCAAAAGGGCTGCCTCGATGAGCAGGTGGCTTCCCTTTGTCTTCTAACCAGGAAAATCACACTCACAATTGACCCCTGACAGGTGAGGCGGGCTGTTCTACATTTTATCAAGGACCTACTCAGCACTAATGCCTGGAGCTGCACAGCCTGGGATGTAGTGGGGCACATCTTTAGTGAGTTCAGCCGCACCACAGAAAGAAGGGTAAGGACTGTGGGCAGCATCTTCTTTTGGAAAACCCGTGCTGCTCAGAGGCTGGCACAGAAGCACCAGTGGGGCCAAACCTGAGAACTGAGTGTAACTGGTGTTTCAACGCCACTGTTGTGCAGGCAGCCGGAGACCTTTCTGCCCAGGAAGCCCAGGAAGAAGGAGCTCTACAGGAGCTGTGTATGGACATCCTGGGGTCACTGGACGTTTCTGTCAGAGGGATGTCCAAAGTAAGTCACACTCTGCCCTTCTGCTGCTCCTTGCCTTCGCACCACGTGTTCCTCGTCCTATTCCAACACTCCAGGTCTCTCCTCCAATGTGCTCTGAAGCACACAAGATTCAGGGAAATTCACAGAGTCCTCTTAATCTCTGAGCGGAAGCAGGAATGCTGACATGCTCAACTGCCTCGTTTCCTACAGCTCCTGTGGCCGCGGCTGCTGCTGTTTGTGGTGCCAGCCGAGTACACGGGTATGCTGATCCCGGTCTCCCGCTGTGTCCAAGCCCTGTCTGAGAGAGAGGACCTGACAGGACGGCGGATAGAAGATCTGGATCCTCATTTTGTCAGCTCCATGTTTCAAGGTAGGAGCAAAAACTCCCCCGGCGAGCTCTGCTGACCAGTCTTAGCACTCAGAAGGGACAGCAGAGGTGAGCGTGGAAGGGCACAGAGTGTCTTGGAGTCTTATTCAGCACTTCTTTCTCCTTGCAGGCCCACTGCTGACTCCCCAGACACTGCTGGCACGTCTGTTGGTGAGTAGATGTTCTGGAGGCCATGAGCCCTGAGGAAGAAGCAGCATGGCCATGGGCAAAGCTATTGGCTGCTCCCTGCCCACCCACCAGAGCCAAACTGCTTCCCTCCTGGTGTAAGTTGCTGCTCTTGCTGCAGAAGTGACCCTGCTTCTCCTTGCTTTCACTCAGGTGGTGGCAGGGAGCCCTGCTGCAAGCAGCGAACTCCAAGCCGCTGCCTTACTGCTGATGAAAAACCTCCACAGCAGGTTCCACAGAGCTGTGGGGGCCATGTGGGCTGTTGAGATCCCCCTGTTGCAGCAGTGCTTCCAAGGTAAAGTGCTGGTGGGGAGGGAGATGTGGAGGCAGGGAAGGGAAAGGGGGGAGTGAAAATGCAACTCTGCAGCATGGCAGAGGGGAAGTGTTGCCTGTGACCCAGTGCTTGCTGTGCTGCTGTTGCCATTCCAGGGAGACAGCACTGAGGCCCGGATACCTTTCCCCCCAGGGATCTGCCCATTCCAGGACACGGATGGGCCCTTCACGTCCCCTCAGATAGCATCTTGGAGCAGTTAGTTCTGTGTTCCTGCAGGGACAGTGTTTGTGGGGAGGGACAGGTCATTGTGGAGGGGGTATGGATCCCAGCTTGGCAGTGTCGAGTGTGCCCAGGTCAAGCCAGGTTTGCAGCTGCTCTTCTTTTGTGGCTTGATCCCAAGTAAGGATCTTTTGCTTCCTATTGCTGTGCAGGGAAAGAGGAGAGCTTCCTGGACTCTGCAGAGTGGGAGAGCCGTCTGCTAAAGGTACAGCATTGCCAGGAGGCACAGTGCAGAGAAGTGCTTGCCTGCCCCAAGTAGCCCCACTCCCATATGAGCCACTGAGGGACAGGAAAAGCCTCTCAAATGCTGCTGCGGAGCAGCTGCACACCTTTGTGGCGCTGTCTCTTCTGCTCTGTCCCAAGCCCAGTGGGACTTCAATGGAGGGAATGCTGGGGGAGCTGGGAGAGAGACTGTTCTTCCAGGCACCTCTTCCCAGAAGGCTGCAGCTACTTGGGAGTGAGGGAAGAGGCAAAGGGCAAGGGAACATTGGCTTCTCCTGTTCTCCAACAGTTCCTGAGGGCATCGCTGGAGACGATAGCGGATGAGGCCTGGACTGAGACTCTGAGCTGTGAGCTGAGCCGCTGGCTGAGCAGCTCTGCCAGCAGCTCTGGAGAAAGGGTGAGTCCCCCCCAGCTATACCCAGAGGTGCAGCTGCAGGTGCCCAACTGGGGCTGGGGCTGGTGCTCTGCCCACATGGGATGCTCACACTGCTTCCCTGACCTGTGCCCCCCATAGGGTCTTTCCCTGAAAACTGCCTGGAGGCTAGCAAAAGCTTGGCCCTGAAGCTGCTCTCAGCGACTCCCAGGGAGTGTGGGTCTTTCCCACCCAGCCCTCCTCTAGCAGGTCAGCCTGCTGCCACATCTCAGCTTCTTCCTTCCCTTCCCTTCTCTTCCCATGCAGTCTTTTCTGTACAAAGCTCTGGGGACAGTGCTGGGAGCCTGTAAGGGTATCCTCCACATCCTGCAGCACCTGGAGGAAGCAAATGCAGAGGAGCCATCTGAGGCCCAGGTGAGCTCTCCTCTCCTCCAGCTTTTGTGAACATCACCGCTCTGTCCCTGGGGTAGGGGGCTTCTCCTGGCCCCCCCTCTGGGCCTTTTGATCTCCTCACTGCTGCCATTTCCCTCAGGAGAGGAGTGGCCCAGCCACTGTGTCTGTCCACACCAGTAGGTTCAGGCCTGCACCAACTGTCCTTTGTTCTTTTGTGCAGGGAATGATCTGTCTTCTCAGCCATGCTGCTGAGAGCAACTTCCACGCAGTCCTGGACACACTCACCATGTTTGCGTCCAGGCTGTGCAAAGGCTGCAGTGGGAAGATTTCCAGGCGCAAAAAGGTGAAGCATTACGGGTTTCCATCTTGGCATTCTTCTGCCTTATTTTCACAGCAGCTCCTGCCTTGCGAGTCCAGGTGCATCGTGGGGCACTGGGGGCCGTTGAGCCAGTGTCTCAAGGCATTTCTCTTCACACAGACGGAGCTGGACAGCAGGAGAGCTCATGCAACACGCAGCGCTCTCATGCTCGCCCATGGCAGCTTGGCACTGCGTGCCTCCAAGGAACAGCTGCTCGCCCACCTGGAGGGAGACATCGTGGGCAACATCCTGATGCTGTACAGCTGCAGCTGCCGGGTGAGAGCTCAAAGCATTCCAGGGTGTCTGAGAGCCCAGATGCAGCCCCTCCACATGGGGGGATGCTGAGATGGGCCTTCTCTTTCCAAAGGTCCTTCAGGGAACGGTTTGTGCCCAGATGAAGATCCAAGTCCTTCCCTTAGCGTTGCCCCCATGTGCCCCCCTTGCAGCCCTTGGCCCTTCCCACAGTTCAAATAATGTTCTTCTCTCTTGGGCCTCAGGACTTGCAGAATAACCTCGCACTGGTGCAGAGCATCACCGACTTCAGCTCTGCCTTCCAGGCTGTGGGTGACTCTGCCTGCTTTAACATCTCCTTGAAGGGCAAGCTTCTGGAGATCCTGATGGTGAGTGCCTAGAGCCAGGGCTGCCTGCAGCAGAGTTTTGGGCTGTGCCACGAAGCTCGCCTCCCTGGAGGCCCTCAGTCACATGTCTCCAGCTGGTGGGGACTTTGGGTGCTGGCAGGCAGCGGCTGGGCAATGGTCTAGGTCCACTAGCTGTGGGGTTGCTACATCCCGCAGTGCTTCCATGGAAAATGTGGGAGTGCTGGGGCTGGTGTGTGGCAGTTGTGTCTGTCTCGGGGCTGGGTGGAAGAGCTCTTGCGTGTTCCTCGCCCAATTTGACAGTATCTCTCTGGGACTTGCAGGACTTGCAGAAGAAATATTACTTGGGCATCCCTGTCTCCCCAGTGCCCCTCAAGGTGGTTCTGGCTCTGGAGCAGTTGAGGTAAGGACGGGAGCCTCTGGGGTTGCAAGGCAGGATGGTGGTTCCCCTTTTGGGTAGCTCCCCAGGCATGTAGAGGTCAGGGGATGAGGATCCACATGGAGTGATGGCTGGGCTGTTGTGCCCAGTGAAGCTGAGGTTCTGGGCAGGGAAGTAGGTCCTGGTGCTCCTGTTCCCTGCAGGGAAGAGAGAGCTGGGGTCTCCTTCCCTTCAGAGCGGGAGGTGGTTCACTGCTGCGGGGGAGGAGGTGGGCGCTGCTGGAACTGAAGACAGTGCTCAGCAGCACGGGCTGGGAGTGTTGAGTTTGGCAGGTGTCGATTAGGAGAAACTCAGATGTTGTCTGAACCAGTCTGGAGAGCACTGGTAAAGGCCCTTTCTGCTTTCTCTTGCTTTTTTCCTCCTGTCAGCAAGCTGAAGCCCTTTTTAGGAACCAAGGACATGATTGAAATATTGACTTTGTGCTGCAAGAACATTGTGACACACCCTTCAGCAGACATGATGCTGAAGATCAGGAAGTCACAGAAAGCAGCGCAGTACCTGCAGGTAACCTGCTGTAACTTTCCGGCCATCTCTCAGTCAGAACCCTACCTCAGCACACACGACCTATGCTCTAGCAGCAGCTGTGATGCCACACCTCAATCTCCTCTTCTGCTTTCAGCTTCAGCAAAGATCACTGAAAGCTCTGGGCAGGCTCATGGTGGTCCTGCTCGAGACTGAGCCCACCGGCAGCTTTTTTCAGAACATAGTCCATGTGAGTATGTGTGGGGCAAGGGAGAAAGCATGGTGCCTGCTGATAGCGGGGACAGAGATCTGGGGACTGAGAGGGCAATCAGAAGAGCAGAAACCTTCTGTTGACATGCCAACTCACTGTGACCTCAGAAATGGGCAATGAAATGAACCCTGCAGGAAGAAAGGCAGGAGCCAGCCCCTGGCAGGCCACAGCTGAAGAAAAGCTCCTGGGTTAAGAGGCAGGAGTGTCTGCAGAAGCAGGGGCAGCAGTGCCAGCGCTCAGTGAGGTGGGGGGATGGCATGGAACCACAGGGCAGGCCCTGAGGGAAAGTGTCAGGAAGGGAGGGATAGGGAGAGAGGTGGCAGTAAGGGAAAGAAAAGATGTCCACAGTGAGACAGATGCTCTGCCCCAGGTCGTGCAGAGATCAATGACATCAGAAAACATGTGGGAGCGCAAGAGGGCCCTGCAGATCTGCTCCCAGCTGCTGGGTGTTTGTGAAGAGCTTCGAGTGAGTAAAGAACCCCACCACATGCCCCCTGCCCCCTCCCCGGTGCCCCTGAGCTGGAAGGCAAGCTCCACCCAGCTGTGCATGCTGTGTCACAGCATGGGGAAGGCGCAGGAGGGAGAAGACAGGGAGAGCTGGGGCTGCCTACAGCTTTGTTCCTGCCTCTCACTCCTGCAGAGAGGAGATGTCTGTGAGCACTTTGGCTCCTTGGTGGGATTGCTGGCACCACTGACATGTGATCCCATGCCCACATCCCGTCAGTTGGCCATCACCTGTCTGAGCTCCCTTCTCCAAATCCAAGGTGAGTAGAGCAGCCATGCGCCAGCCCTCTGCCCTCCTCTGCAGCACTACCAGAGCCCCATGGGCTGGGCCCTGTGCACAGTTCTCTTCTTGTCCCCACCCTGTCCTCGGTCTCTCCCCTGTGGAAAGCAGTTCCATTTCCAGAAGCATGACTTCCCTTTTCTCCCCATGCTCTTTTCAGCCAAGATGACCAACAGAGTCATTGAGACGGGAGACATTAGGAGCCTGCTTGAGGGGCTGCATTCCTGCAGCAACATCTCTCAGCTCCAGACCTCATCCAAAATTGCAAGGGTAAGTGGACCCAAAAAAGAGTTGTGGGATCTCAGTGCATAGGCTTCTGCATGTCCCTGTGCTCCCCCCAGCCTCTCACACTGTTTCCAGAATGAGCTGTCACCCTGAAACCGCTTTTCTCAGCAAGTAGCAGGAGGCTCTGAGTTATGTCTGGCCTTCAGACACCCAGTGCAAGCAGCTGACTCCATGATATGCATTTGTGTGTGTGTGTGTGTATGACTGTGTGTGTTTGTGTGTGTGTGTGCCTGTGGCTGCTGAGAGGTAGATTTTGCATATAAGCAGACACCGTGGGTGCAGAGGCCTAGAGAAGGCTCAACTGCCTTATGCATAAATAGCGGGGTACGGACAGCAGGAACATTGTGATTGCCGCCTGAATGACCGGCAGGCCACTGAACTAAGAATACCTTCAAGACTGCTTTGTATTTTGAAGAGCTGCCGCAGAGCAGTGACGGTATCTCTCCTGCTTCTCGTTTCTCTGCAGATTGTGTTCAGAAACTTCCCCCTGGAACGCACCGTAGACCTCATGATGGCCATCAAGGAGAGCTTCCGGAAAGCCAAAGGAATGCGTGTGCGTGCTGCTGGGAAGTGGATGACCACCTTTCTGCAGATGTACAGGAGGGACATCTGTCAGGATGTAAGAGACTTTCTTCCACGTCTTGGACTTTTTCTGGCTGTTGCACTATGTCTTGTGTCATTTGCCTCTTGTGCTAAAGCACAACCTGAGTGCAAAGCCAGGGCTGACATGAAATTTAGGTGTAGGCCTTGGCAGCACGTCAAGGGAGCAGGCACTGCTCATGCGCCAAATACCATGGTTAGACCGAGCATATTCAACGATGCAGCAAGTCATTCTTTCTCCCCTTCTTTCAGGTGCCACTGATCCTCTACATCCTGCGCAGCTGCACATCATCCATGCAGCAGAGCATTTTCATGCCCTTCCTGTGCCAGGCGGTGGTCATCTTGATACGCTGTCATGAAGAGGTCATGATTGACAACTTCTCCCGGCTGCTTGGGCCCACAGACAGGTACTGGCACCCCTGCCTTTGCTGTTGCTGCAGTCACAGTTGTAGTTTGCCTCTGTTAGAGGGATTCTGGGAGGAAGCAGTTTTTCTTTTTTCCTCTTTAAGTCTTTTTAAAGAAAATTACTCAGTCACAACTTGAGACTCTCTTTTTTCTAGCGAGACATGGAGAAGAATAAGAGAGTTTTGTCTTCGACGGTGGAGCCAGTAGAAGAATGAAAAAAAAAAAGAGAAGGGAAAGGGAGGGAAGGGAAAGGGAAGGGGAAAGGGAAAAAGGGAAAGGGAAAGGGAAAAAGGGAAAAGAAAAGGAAAAAAGGGAAAGGGAAAAAGGCAAAGGCAAAAAGAAAGGGGAAAAAGGGAAAGGGAAAAGGAAAGGAAAAAAAGGAAAGGAAAAAAGGGAGAGGGAAATGGGAAGGGAAAAAACAAAGGGAAAAGGAGAAGGGAAAAAGGGAAAGGGAAAGGGAAAAAGAAATGGAAAGGGAAAGAGAAAAAGGGAAAGGGAAATGGAAAGGGAAAAAGGGAAAAAGACAAAAAGAAAAGGGAAAGGGAAATGGAAAGGGAAAAAGGGTAAAAGACAAAGAGAAAAGGGAAAGGGAAAAGGAAAGGGAAAGGGAAGGGGAGAGGGAAAGAGAAAAGGAAAGGGAAAGGAAAAGGAAAGGGAAAGGGACAGGGAAAGGGAAAGGGAAAATGAAAGGGAGAGGGAGAAGGAAAGGGAAGGGTGGGGATGGGAGGGCATGGGAGAGGGAAAGGGGAGGGGAAGGAGAGAGAAAGGAGAGGGAAAGGAGAAGAAAGGAGAGGAAGAGGAAGAGGGAGAAGGAGAGGGAGAGGGAGAGGGAGAGGGAGAGGAGAGGAGAGGAGAGGAGAGGAGAGAAGAGAAGAGAAGAGAAGAGAAGAGAAGAGAAGAGAAGAGAAGAGAAGAGAAGAGAAGAGAAGAGAAAAAGAAAGGAAAAAAAGAGAAAAGAGAAAAGGAAAGGAAAGAAAAGAAAAGGAAAGAAAAAGAAAGGAAAGAACAGCTGAGCTAAAAATATATACATTATTTATTTAAAACAATTAAATGCCAGAATCCTGGCTAAGTAGTGAAAAGAGTATTTTTGTAACAAGTCTTCATTTTTAAAGCTGCTGTCTCTTCTTCATACCAATTACAGAATCACAGAATCACAGAATGCCAGGAACTGGAAGGAACCTCAAAAGATCATCTAGTCCAATACCCCCCCTTAGCAGGATCACCTAGATTAGGTCACACAGGAATGCTTCCAGGCAGTAGTATGCATCATAAGTAAAGAATGTGAAAAGGCATTAAATATATTATTAGAATGAACTTTTATGTGACTATTATAATTTTCAAGTACAGTTGAATAACAACAATGGAAAAGTGTTCTTATGAATGTACTTGGATAATTAATGACAAAGATTGGAGACATCATGTAGTGCCAAATCAAAGACTGTAAATACATTTTTTCAAGAGACTGATGTACCCATTGCTAGTTAATAATTAAATATATTGCTAATTAGTAACACAGTGAAACTTCAGACCTTTAATGCTATGGCATAATTCATTTTGACTTCAGTACCGTTAAGATTAATGCATACCTCTTCATGTAAGTAGCAATGAAATAAATACATAAATAAATTCTCCATTACATTGCCAAATCTTTGCTAAAATTCAGCTGCATTATACAGTAATTTATTATCTACTACTCTACATAGGAGGAGATTACAGTATTAGAAATGGGGCCAATTATTGAAATCAGTGACAGTAACCACTCTTGTATTTCTTCATATTTCTTCTTCAACTCATGTGGAAACTTATTTCACTTCTCAGTGGTCTGGAATTCAAACAAAAGTTTAAGCTGTAACCGTTTTACAGTCCTTCAAATGCATTGCTTTTGCCAGATGGAAGGTTCTTCTATATGCTTAAAAAAAAAAAAAAAAAAAAAAAAAAAAGGAAAAAAACCGCAACCCACATTCTTTCTCAGCTTTATTTTCTTCTGGTAAGACATATGTATTTGCATGTTGTGATCAGTGTATTTTGTGATTTTACATTCATATGTTAATTCATATATTCATATGTATACATTCATAGGTTTAACAGCCATGAAGTACTGGCTCATAAGTAAACCCTGTTTCATTTATTCATAAATTTATTAATTTGAGAGGTCACCCAGCACATAAATTTACAAGTGCTGTAGTATTAATTCATTTAAAATGCATGGAAACTGCCTCTTCATGCTTAAGTAGCCACCTGAGTCCAAACAGGAATGATCACGCCATAGTTAATTTTCCTATTATTACAACATTGCATAGACCTTCTTTTGCTGCATCATGGCTGGCTGGGAGCCTGCAGTGGCTGCTTCAATAGACTGAGACTCTCAGATTCTCACTCAAGCCATAGGTGGCACTGACAAAATGTAGTGCAAAAATTTAGGTGTTCTTTCTGGATGTGAACTAATTACCAACCTTAAAAGAGAAATGCAGTAAGAATAATACTTCCTAGAACAGTACCAAGTCAGGCAGCATGATCTTGACTGCTGTGGTGAAATAATAACCCCACTGAGCGTAGCAGTAAAGCATTCAAAAACAAACTCAAGTTCTAGTCTCAGTAGAAACACTGGAACTGATTTTCTCACTCCAGAGACCTTTACCTCTTGCTTGTAATTGCATACAGCATTCTGCATGGTCACTTTGCAGCTCTTTCCCTCCTTCTGCTACTGATCTCTGGTACTAGGAAAGGAGAAAGACAAATACTGATTTTCAAGTGTGGTTGGCCTCTTTCATACAACCCATCCCTGTCCTTTCCAGTATCTTTCATCACAGAACTCGACATTTACCTGAAATAGACCTATCTACTCCTGTATATCACACTGTGCATGCACAGAGATTTAAGAGAAGAAGAAAAAAAATATTGAGGGAAAGGAATGAATACTACCCATTTAGCAGAATCCATTCAGTCAGCCCATTAATTTCTTGTCAAATTTCATCAAGGAAGAGGAGCTTAAACTCTTCAAAAATCACAGCTAAAGAGTCTAAGTTACTGTCATGCTAAATAACTGATAATGTTAGTTTAAATTACTGTTGATGCTAGTCTTTGTATGTGAGAGAGGACTATACATATTGGCCTTCCAGATCCATTTAGTCCAGTATTATCTCTCTTATAGTTCCCCGGTAGTCAGAGGCAAAAGTAATCTAATGTTGGTAATTTTTGCATACTAGATCTGTAAGATCTTTACTGCCTTGAAAACTTATTTAATTCCAGGAACTGAAACCTCCAAAGAAGTGCCACAGAATCCAGAGTACCACTGTTCTTTTCCAGCCTAGCAAAAGAATAAAAAGTAGAAGAAGTGTCAATCCATGACAAGAGAAGATTTGGACTTCTAAAATTTTATTCTTCAACAATTTAGAGGAAGCCAACTATATAATTTCTTATGCCTTGATTCCAGCTAGCCTGGAATTTCAGAATTACTGTACCCAGACTTTCTGAACACTACAAATCATCCAGTTTCATCTAGAAACCTCCGTTATATCCAACCAAGTTCACAAAATCATTTCATTAGTTGCTGGACTCAGCTTTACACCAATGTAATAGATGATTGCACTGAGCCTGATGTCCTAAGAGGCCGGCAATGGGCACGTGTGGGACAAGTAATATACCCAGATGGCTTCCCAAAGATCAATGATATAAGTTGTTTAGAAACATCTTAGCCTTTATAGCCCTAAATCAGGTGATCAGCAATTATTTAAAACTAGCTAGACATCCAAAAATTAAAATTATCTGTAACAACTAAATGCACAGGATTATGTTCTTAATCATCTCACCTTTGACATTAGCTATTATTTCTTTCTCTAGAGAAAAAGAAAACAACGAAAATCAAACAAGATGTCAATTGATTTATGCTAGCTTCTCTGCATCTAAAGTTGGAGAGGATAATCATTAAGCTTTAGAGAACAAGGTTTAGTTGTAACTGCTACCTTCAGGTGAAGTATTATTGGCATGTTGAATGCTATATAGGTGATCTGGAGCTTGTTAACATCCATGGAGGTAGTGGCTGAAAACACACATTTTAATAGCAAAGCAACGATGTCAACAACTCACCCTTCCATCCCTTTCTTCTCTGCTCTAGATATCCTCCAGCAAATGCAAATATGAAGAACATTAATAATTGCTTTTTAATATAAATTTTATTTTAACATCACTAATGGTGAAAAATATCATCTCCCTCATGTTTGCTATTTTGCTGCACTGCTACCCATACACTGCTAAGAAACACTATCTTATTTTAGGCTTAAACTGCTGTAACTTATCTTCCAGCAACTGGATCTCATGTCTTCACCAGTAGTTTTGAAAAACCCTCCCATAACACATATATCACTTTTCAGCCTCCTCTTTTATGAAAAGAAATTCTGAACTACTCTGACTGAAAATAATTTCATCCTTTGAATTCTCACTGTCTTCTAATGTTCTTCCAGAGTGAGTGTTAGACCTGGAAAAAATGTTACATTAAAGGCAAAACCATTTCCACCCTTGCGTTTGATATTACACATACACTAATCACAGGTCTTTTTTCATGACACGACAAACATTTTTTTTAAGAAAATCCTTCATTTTATCTCACATCTAAAATACATGTAAATTATCTTTGTTTCATAAGTAATTCTAAAAATTAAAAATTACTATGAATTCAGTCCTCAACCAGTATGTTTTTCTTTAAAAGAATTTTGTTACAGCAATTCTCCTACTTGCTTTGTTGGTAAATGTGCAACCTCTAATAGCCTTTTCAACACTGTACACTTACCTTTTGTGTTATTTTATTAAAAAAAAAATTACAGTATATGATCTAACACACAATGAAATATAGAAACGTCATATTGAGAAATTTTTCATTTTTATTTTGAAGTATCATAGCAGAATGCAGAGATTAAAATCTGTTCCTGGATTGGCTGAGAGATTATATAAATGCAGCCTTTCTACTACTCTTCTAGGATGCAGTGGTTATTGAAATGTGGGTACAGACAAATGCATTCTGCAAACAGAATGCAGATGTTCTTCACTGAGAGTGTCACCCCTGCCAGCTGTTCCTCAGCTGTTGGATGTTTTCTTGCCAGTTTACTGGCAGTACTCCTTTGCACAGGTGAAACAAGTTGGAAAGTTTGGATGGAATCTTTAATATGTCTAATCTTGTTTTGAATTAAAAGTGTTAGAGATCCCCAGGGATGAGGGAAAAT